GGTGAGTGCATAAGTGCTGTCAACTAGTGAATAGAGGAGCACAGTACCCTGCTTGGGTAGATAACATACAAACAAAACAATGAAAATGAATATCATGGGCAAGTCCCTCCAACATACAATCACCAATTAAATATAAGCACAAAAACGTCACAATGCCTTGGAGACAACAGAGCATCACAGGCCACACAAAGAAGCTAGATAAAGCAGGAGAAACAAAGGACCAGGATACAGACCCAAAATACAACCCTGAGGAAGATGCAGCATTGGAAGTCCCTGATAAGGAATTCAAAAGAATTATATTTAGATATCTTCAACAAATAAAGAGACAGATCAGGAAAAACACAAAGAAAACCCTAGAACAATTTTGAAAGACAATACAAGAACAAAATGACAAAATAAATGAAAAAGTAGAAATGATACAAAATCTACACAGAAATCCAGAAGATTAATACTAAATATTCAGAATTAGATAAGGTATTGAATGGGCTAAGTAGCAGAACTGAATCATTGGAAGACAGAAATAGGGAGAATGAAGGCAAATACCTGAAGATTTCTTTGGAAAGGGATAAATCAGAGAAAAGATCAAAACAAAATGAAGAAACTCTAAGGTTCATGTGGGGTACCATCAAATGAAAAGGAATAACCTATGTGTAATTGGAATTCCAGAACAAGAAGAGCCAAATAAAACCACAGAGAAAATTGTCGACCATTTGTTGGAAGAGAATTTTAGTGATACAATGAAAATGAGAATATATCCATTCAGGAAGTCCAACGAACCCCAAACATGATAGAGCCCAAAAGAAAATCACCCAAACATATCATCATCAAACTTACCAACACCAAAGACAAAGAAAGAATCATGAGAGTAGCATGGAAAAAACAAAACGTTATCTACAAGGGGCAACAAATAAGACTAACCTCTGATTTCTCCACAGAAACCATGCACACAAGAGGACAGGGGATGGTATATGTAAAACCCTGAAAGAGAAAAATTTCCAACCAAGAATTATGTATCCAGCAAAGTTGTCCCCCAAATATGATGGTGAAATTAGGACATTTCCAGATAAGTAGAAATTAAAGGAATTTGTTAAAAACAGACCAACCTTACAAGAGATGCTAAAGGGTGCCCTCTGGACAGAGAAGCAACAATGGCCAACAACAACAACAACTGACCTTTAACACACATGATGATATAACCTAGACCAACACAACTATGGAAGTATCCAAAGTAAATAAGCCTACAAGATTGTAAACAGGGAATCAGAGACATCAAGTGACAAATGAGGACAACTACAAACCAAAAAGAAAGAACAAACTGTGTTGTTACAGAACTTCTAGATGGTAGGGAAGTCAAGACAACTACAAGATAGAACAGACTGTTCTAAACTTG